GGCACATTATGCCACTATACAATGTAACACCCAATCTTCACTATTTATGTTATGAATCCCATGTGGTGGTGAGCCTATTGCCATATACCGGGCACAATTCCAGACACCGTGCTACTACTGGGATTTTTTGAAAGAACCCAGTTATACTTTGCCCGACCTGAAAATCGAAGAGACAGTATGACAAATAGAGACGGTAATAATTACTCCACAGTACTATCACCACACGATTTAAACATTTGATTCCCAAAAACATAAATTCAGTGCACAATTCTCGCCCCACCAAACAACACACGTTACACTTTATGACAGGAAGTAATGTAATAATATCAGTGGCTGGCCACACAGCTGAAACTTTCAGGTGCAAACAGTTATAACAGTCACAAAATGGCCGCGTTATTAATTGCTTACACCTGTGCCAAGACCTCATTACAAAAGTGGGATGAAAGTTTTGTAATGCGTGCTTATAATATGTATTACTGTATTCATATAATAAACTAGCTCTTGCCCGCGACTTTATCCGCGTAGAATAATGACTTCTGATAGAATTAGGCTTTTGAATTAATCTTTAACAAGGTATATTTTACGGTAACGAATGGCGTCAGAATTAATTCATTACCTAATATAGGGCTCCTCGCCTGTAGATAATAGCGTGATAATATGTAGCCTACATGTTGACCCGACTTGTCAGTAGTATTTATGCAAAATTTGAAGTAAATCTGTGCAGTACTTTTTGAGATCATCCCGGACATATATACAGACAAACAGTCAAAAATTCTAAAAACCATAATTTTGGCTTTAGTATCGATTGTAGATCACGTCCTAAGTATTCTTTTAAAAAAAAATTCAATGTACAGCTATTGACTATTCTACGATTTTATTATATGTATAGATATAGATACTGATTCTTGGGCTATGTTAAAGCACTTCATATTTACCAGTTACCTTAGAGTTTTCTCGTTCAGATAAAGACTATAGGTGAAATTTTAACAGTCCTACAATGAAGGTTTATTTGTGAAATACAAAAGAGGCCGCGCTCTGATTGGTTGGTTCATTGGAGCTATAACACAAACTCCTACAAAGCCCTCTGATCAACAAGTATGTAAAAACTTTCTTTCCCGTCTTTCCTCCCTTGTTCTTTTAATTTAGTGTGGTGTAAAGAAACAGTCACCTACTAACAAAGGAATTTGTAAACGCAGGACACAGAAGAAAACCTATTGGGGTTCTGATACGAACAAATTACTTTAACATTTAATTTGAACTGAATAAAGTCGAATTTTTAAGTGTGGGAGAGCCATGCTTCGGCATGAATGGGCCGGCTCGACCGGAGTGATACCACGGCCTCACACAAGACCGACGTGAAACAACGTTGTGTTGTGTTTCGTCGTGTGAGTGAGGTTACCAGATGCCCAATTTCCTTCCCCCTTTCCCCAATCTCTGAATCCCCAACAATCCTCAAATTCCTAATCCCAAAAGGCCGGTAACGCACTTGTAACGCCTCTGGTGTTCCAAGTGTACATGAGCGACACCGATTGCTTACCATCAGGTGATCCGTCTGCTCGTATGCCGGTAATATTATGTTTTCGGCTTACTCACGTAACTTTTTGACGAAGGCTTTATTATAAACAGAGATAAAGTCTCTCTAAAACCCGATAATAACTAATGTTTTTTCCTATGTTAGTACGTAATTCATATTATGCAGACCCTGGTAAATCCATATACAATACTTAAGATTCTAAAACTCGTTGTTTATATCTGTTTACATCCATCTAAATCCGAAGCGATGAGACAACGCCATGATGACTGAGCTTGCGTAGCTTGTTAGTGTGTGTCATTAATTCATTATACATTGTGTATTTATATTGCATCTGTCATTGCAAGTGATATTTCTACAAGTACGTCATTTGTTTTTAAATATTAGTACCGATATATTGCGCCTTTTTACGAGTTTAAGCCAGTCACCACCTCTCAAAACTGCTGCAACTCCTGTAAGCCAGGATCTACAGTAAATACAACCATGAAAACACCGTAACACTGATGTCCGGCGCGTCCCAGGGACATGAAAAACTGTCTTCGTTCCCGCAACGAAGTGAATCAGACGATATTATAAGAGGAGAAGAAACAAACGATTGTTTCCACTTCCCTCGGTGAATTAGTGAAGGAGACAGAATGAATTAAGCCTAAAAGGCACGAAAAGAGACACGATTGGGAGAAGCTCAATCGACAAGGAATATATATTGCGCTTGCACATCAAGCTATCTCTTTTTTCGCGTTACGTTTGAGCCCCGAATTGAATGTAATCGTTATAGTTTTCTTTGTAAGTACTTAGAATTATTTATTTTCAATAGATTCAAGTAGACTGCAAAACAATTACCTAAGCTTAGAAGGATGCAATATAGTCGATTTTACATTTTAAAAATGCTTGCTATAAAGTTAGTTTTTGATGATAATAATAATAATAATATAGTTTGTAGTCTCATATCCAAATCAACGTATGTGAATGAGACATCAGATCTTCGTGTGGCAAAACGTGAATCCACGCCAAACACAATGTATTTTCTATTGTGTCTCATATTGCGGTTAAAAAATCAAGTTAATCAGTTTTTGACTACATTTATTAATGTAAAGATGGCATACCAATTATAGAATATCTATTTACTTTGCAAATTAATATTGTTTCTTTTATTTGTTTTCATGTGATTAGAAAACATAAGGATGATATAAATGGAAGTGATAACTAAGTACCAATTACTTTTATTTACTTAAATCCGTGTAAAGAACAATTAAATAATTGCTAAATATAATTCGTCAGCAAATATATTGAGAAAAGCTCTACTAGTTTCGAGCCACCGAGGGACTCTTCCTTAGCCTACTGTAGGTACTGTGTCATTTCACGTAAGTAACCTGCGATTTTTAATTAATTTAGTACCTATGTCTCACGATAGTTATTATAAAAACATACTGGATTTTGATTGAAATATTGAATGCGTATATCATCTCTTGCAGGCAGTTAATAAAATTACTTCACATTTTTTTTAACGTTGCCCCACACTAGGATTTTTCCTGTGTCGTGGGTGCGTTTACAAACATATAAGTTCACATACACTTCACACCCAGACCCGGAACAGCAATCTGTCGAACACACAAAGAATCGAACCTGCGACACGTTGCGCGGCAGTCAGTTGCCTATCCACCGCGCCAACCATACAGTCGATTGAGTCAGCATTTAATCGAATCTAGCTAAGATTTAATGCCAAAACCTACTTACAATAAGGATAAGGGGGAAAGGCTAATAGAAAGACGACTTAATTAATTTCAATAACACCATAATACGACCTCAAATCATTGTTCCATTCAACCAATACATAATATTAGTCATAAAGCTTACACATCAAAGCACGCGTCGATTATCATATAGTTAGCTATCATAGTACTCAATGGTTAGAAGGTCAACTTCAGACAAACATTAATAGGAGACTAATAAACATAACATAACATCACGCTTTTTATTCCCGAAGGTGTAGGCAGAGGTGCACATTACGGCACTTAATGTCGCTGTACAATGTAACACCCACTTTTCACTATGTATGTTATGAGCCCCATCTAATAGGGGGTGAGCCTATTGCCATTTACCGGGCACAAACCCAGACTCTGTACTACTACTCATTTTTTTTTTAAAAAGTCTTCTAGTACTTTGGCCGACCCGGGAATCGAACCCGAGACCCCTAGTCCGACAGTCGCACTTGCGATCACTCGGCCCAAGAGGCAGTCAAGACTAATAAATTAATTTTATAACTATATTCCTAGGCAAAGTCCTAGGATTTGATTGGTTTTTATTATTATTTTATTAGAACTAAGTCCGTCAGACATTCCTAACAAATTGTAGCTCCCGTAAGATAATAGGTACATAGGTGTGGTTAAAACATATGGACATTTTAGCTGAAGTATATTGTAAGCTCACCCCCTATTACATTGGTCTCATAACATAAATAGTGAAAAGTGGGTGTTACATTGTACAGTGGCATTAAGTGCTGAAATGTGCACCTCTGCCTTTCCCTTCGGAGATAAAAAGGCATGATGTTATGTTATATTGTACAAGATGTTTTAAGTTCATATCTGTTCAATAAAAATTCTCAGTAGTAGCACGGAGTCTGGAATTGTATCCCGGTATATGGCAATAGGCTCACTCCCTATTACATGGGACTCATAACATAAATAGTGAAAAGTGGATGTTACATTGTACAGTGGCAGTAAGTGCCGTAATGTGCACCTCTAGCTACCACTTCTGGGATAAAAAGGCGTGATGATATGTTATGATGATCATTAATTCTTAGTATCTAGCCGCAATTTAAAAATACTTTTAACTGGAAGCTGTGGCTATTACAAATATTTATTAAGTAAAATATACGTAGCACTCGCTTTAACGATACAAAACTACTTCTGCAAAAGTTTTAACGCCAATCGTGACGCAGATATCTAAATCACATGTCTACAAGATTTATTTATATATTTTATTGACTCTATATATAGAAAACTAATTTTAAACTGCAGAAAATGTGTTTAATGTCGACATTATTAAACTTAAATCTAGTTTTAAATCTTCATGAACATACCCCACGTGTGTAAGACGGTATTAATTTAAAATATGACCTATCATTTCGTTTGAGTTCCATTATTATAATCGGTCAAGTATTTTCCGCGTACACCACACAAATAGTTTTCTCAATTTAATAAAAAATGAGAAAGTGTTGCAGAATTATTCAAGGACTTTTAAAAAGTTATATATTGTAGCTTAAATGTGGTACGTAGCTATATTTTATCAGCAATTTGGATATCTATCGATAACAATTTAGATTATTATTCCAAGAAACCTTGACTACATTCTGTTATTTCTAGCAAAAAGCACTTTACATGAAAGTATTTTATTATATACCCGTAATTAAATACCTTCTAGTTTATTACAATTGAGAACGAGGACGCATTAATAATTTAAAATGACTTACCCGATTTAAAAAAAATCCAAAATCGGTCAGCACAGCACTATTATAACCAAAGGGCTTGTTGTAATGTTTTTTTTTTTCAGAATAGGGTTGTGTAGGATAGTGCAGGGTTTCGTAAACACGGCACACGAGTGGGATAGTTCGTTCGTTCGGAAGTGATGCTGGCCGCCCGGCCAGTACAGCTCGCCGCCCGCGCGATCCACTCGCGAACGACTAGTGATGGGACGAGTACACGGGATATCGATAAACATTCGAGCTCTCGTTATTGCTGGCTAACACGACAGTTTGTTATTGACTTTATTGCATTGAGGGTAACGATTGATGGGGTCATGTCTACTTTGTGCTTTGTTGTGAATTGATATTAGTTAGGTCGTTTAAGGATATTTAGTAAATGAGTTAACTGTCAACTGATGATTACTTTTTAATGTTGTTTTCATTTAAACAAACTGTGAGAATAAATAATAAGTAATAAACGCAAATAAATAAAATTGTTTAATAATAATACTTCATAAATGGGGTATCTTAGACGGTAAGATGAAAAAGATATTACATATTACGAATAATATTAGCTTTTTGGCTAGAAAAATAACTTTATCAAAAAATACTTGGAGTGCGATTTAAAAACCTTGTCACAATCAATATCTTTATAATACTTCCTACAAGGTCAAGAAAAAAATAGAAAGCTTTATGTATGACAAAGTGCTTTACATTACATTAATCGACAACACAAATTACGATTATTTTCCCCGACGCACCTCACTACGCATGAAAAATCCCGCTGTAACTTTGGCCGCAGTCTTGTTTCCCGCCGCCCCGCGCACTCCAATGTTTTGCAAATCCCTGATTATAATTAGTTCACTTACTCATGTCTTTATATTAATCATTTTTCTATAAGTAAATACTGGAGCTACATATATTTACAAAGATACAAGCGTTGGTGCAGACATAACATTAAGATTGTAATTCTGCAAAGGGTACTAGACAGAAATGTAGTGATGTCACACCCTCCTTACACAAGGTCATTTATACATTTATAATGGGGATGATGACAGGGTATGAATATTAAAAATATAATTAGTCCGTAAGTTAGGTAATGAAAAAATATTAGACACTTATTTTTTTTATTTGGTCGTATAATAAAACAATACTTAAATAAAACAAACCAAAGTTTAGGAGTGGGGGCTAAAACGTCATTTCTGATTTTCTACGTATAAAATGTACATATAAGTGACGTCACGCGACATTTCAAATCAATATATCGTCGAAAGTATTCGTTTCTATAAGAAAATAAAAATTAAGTGTCTAATGATTTCAAATAATCTGCCAGACGGACATTAAAATAAAAATTAGGCGTCTACCCTACGAAACTCTCATGTGAAGGATCAACAGTACTATGTGTTCTAGAAACACCTCCAATAAATTTCCTATAAAAAGCCCAGGACGTCCGTTGTAAAAAAAAACTTTTTATACGTACGTACCGATGCTATAAGTATGGTCAACCTTGTAGCTTTTTTATGGAGTAAGCTGGTAAACGAGCAGACGGATCACCTGATGGTAAGCAATCAGCGCCGCCCATAAACACACCTAGAACAGCAGAAGTGTTACAAGTGCGTTATCGGCCTTTTGGGGATTAGGAATTTAAGGATTATTGGGGATTCGGGGTTTGAGGAGGTAGGTAATTGGGCCGCCGGCAACCTCACTCACACGACGAAACACATCGCAAGTGTTGTTTCACGTCGGTTTTCTGTGAGGCCGTTATTATCGAGATTGCGTCGTCTTCTTACTGCCCATATCTCAAGCTATTTGGAATCGGCGCAATATGGCTTCCTTCTCCATTCTACTTAATCTAACATCATCCCATCATAAACATCTTAAAACTAAGCAAGTTCTTTAAAACACATGTTCATTTTCATTGACAACAGAACGTTGTATTTTTAATTAAAACGCCAATGTAATGACGTGGTCAGCCATCTAAAATAAGGTTTCAATCACCAATTTATTTATGAAGTGTTACATTCGTCATACAAGTCGTAACGTAAGCAATGCAACCCTGAAACTGTGTTACTCATTGCACATTGCATACATAAATACATCCATAGGTACGTAAGATGCCTCGTTGGTTAGGAAATTACAAGTTAAGCATGAGTTCAAATCCAGAATACGAAAAAAGAAATAGACATGGCCTTGACCACAGAACATATCTATTTATGTTATGAGTCCTATGTAATAAGGGGTTAGCCTATTGTCATATACCGGGCACAATTCCAGACTAAGATTTAAAAAAAACCAAGGAATAATTTTCCCGACCCGGGTATCGAACCCGAGCCCTCTTGCCCCGCAGTCGCACTTACAATATGTTCTGTGGTGCTGACAAATCTCATCCATAGCTTGATGTCCAGAATTCATGCTTTATTATTTTGTAATAACCACACTCCGTATAATAACGTAATGCATGGAGATTTAACAGTAGACTTGATCTCTACGATATACATATTTAAGTCTTTGACTGCCAATAGAAAACTGTTAAAGGGGAATACTTCTCTAACGTTGATCACTGGTGACTCCTATAACCAAGAACCCCATAGCATTTAATGTACCCACGATAGATATTTAAAAAACGTATAGTACCTTATGTTTTCTAACTACCCTAACGCTGAAATACGCAAACTCAATTTTAAAGTACTAAAGCAGTATAGTTCTGTCATAACAAAATCTTTGAAGAGTGACAGAGATGTCACGATGTTTAAGTACACCTTGAAACTGAGTAACTATCCTTTCCAGTTGGCGCGGAGAACTTAACGGGTTGCCGGGGCTCCGGCTCGAAGTGCAGGAGTAGGAACGGGGTGGTTTTTAGTCAGTAAGAGTCTGACACTCCCTACCGCCTCACTCAGGCGAGAAAAGCCATTCGATGATTTTTACCCCTTAAAAACAAAATCCTTTCAGTGTATAACCTGGGAGTCTTCAAGTCGCGAGAGATGAGGTTGCTTATGGGACGACGTGCTCCATCGTAGACCGCATCATCGCATACCACCAGGCGAGATAGTGGTCAAACGTCGCCCTACCTAATATTAAAAAAAAGTGTTCGGGCGTAAGTACTAAGTAATCATCCACCTACCACTTTGAGATGCGTAATGGTTACGTCACAAAACACAACAAAGATAAACAAATAGTAAGCAGTTAAGTGTACAATCTCTATAGAAACAAAATTAAGCCCGATTTTCCTTAAAAGTTTAAAACTTGACCACAAACCGGCTAAAAAATAATTTAAAACTGACTCAGGCGCAAACAAGAAATTCAAAAACCTTAAATTAATAAATACATGTTTATTTGCGGTATTAGCGTATCGGAAATGCCGTGTGCCAATCTCAAAGTGACCCGGTGACTCATGCGCAACCTGTACGCCTGTATCGATCTATTAGTGTGGTACGAGGCTCAGACAAGGACGTGCGTATGACATGAAACGAAAATAATGTGGATGGAGGTTAGGCTGGTGAGGTCGTTTGAATGTTTTGTGGGATTTGTTTTGTGGGTTAAAGTTGGAAAGACCTTGGAATAAATTCCTAGGTCGGGGAAGGTCGAGGAAGTGTTAGAACATAATGAATACATAAATACAGGCTGATAGACTCATCCCTATTACAATAGGACCAACAATGAATAGTGACGTGATGCTCTTGGATTTAACAACGTTATTATTGAGTCTGTGACAAACATTTATGTTTTTGGATCTACATAGGTACTTAGATAATATGCCACTAAGAATTAAGTCCGCCATTGTACACCCATTGTGCAAAAAGTGAAAATAAATAACTAAAAATAAATAAATATAATAAGTAATATTTTGCAAACGGCTCACCTGATGATAACCGATCAGCACCGCCTATGGACCCGCAACACCAGAGAAGTCACATGTGCGTTGCCGGCGTTTTCAAAAGAAATATGCACCCTCTCCCTCTTTCTTCTGTTTACGATACCAATTAAAAAACGTTTCAAAAAACAAATGACAGCAAGTGGGATTACGATATTCAGTTCAAACAAAATGCTACTTGAGTGTCTGGATAGCGTGTGATTTGTGTGAACGTCGTTTTCACCCAAATCACACGCCAATTGATGCTTTGAACCAGAAATTAAAAGCTTTACAATTTTACTTTCGAAGTAAGGATGACCACTTGACAACATTTATTTAAATCTGTGTAATAATACGCCGTTGTTTAAGAGTAACACGATAAAACGGGCGGCCCACTTTCTATTTCAAGAACCATCTTGTCAAACTTCAAACGAAGTGTGATAATTTTGGTTTTAAAAAGAAAATCGTTTATTGACTGCTCCCGTTTGGTGATGAGACTATAAGCTAGAGGTCTCTGGTTTTATTCTTAGCAATCGTTATTTCTACATCTCTTGTATTGCCATTAAACATGGCAATTTGCCATTAAACATGGCAATTTACTAGCCCTTCATTACTGACTTCAATACCAAACATAACAGAACAGAACATATGACATAGGAGAAAAAAAAGGTTATCATAACTTGATTCTTCTGTCTAGGATACTCGCCTTTCGACATCTACAGCCATAATTTATACTTTAAAGGGCCCAGGTTTATCAAAGAGGCAGCACTCCGGCTAGGTTCCTAACAAATCTGTAGTTCATAAGTCAGCTCTTACGACATTCACTGGAAGATGGAAGTGGTGAATAATATATTTGACCGGCCTTCGTAGGGAGAGTACAGAGATTTTAAAAAGAGTGCCATAAGCTAATCAATTTCAAAAAAAATTTATAGACTTTTCAGACGTTTTCACAAAAAATACGCAATGGTAATCGCTTGGGAAGCTGTGAAATAACTCGTTCGTAAAGAGAAAAACATGTAAACAGGGCCGGCCTCGGTAGCTAAAAATATAACATTATATTGGAATATTCCCGCCACACCATTCCACAGACTAAAAATCTGTAAATATTTAAACCTTGTCTTACTGTTCTCAAATATTTTAACTGTTTGTTGTTTAAACTGGATTTTAGTTGTCTTTCATAGCCTAGATTTTAGTTGGGGTATCCAGAATAACTTTTAATGTTAATCCTAAATACCTACCTATTTAAGTGTGGGTAAGCCATGCTTCGGCACGAATGGGCGGGTTCGACCAGAGTTATACCACGGCCTCACAGAAAATGTACTACTACTAAATTGGAACTAAAATCCACGTGAAACAACGCTTGCGTTGTGTTTCGTCGTGTAAGTGAGGTTA